GCACTCTCCCGAGTGAGCCACGGGCCGGCCCCATAAAAGACACAGTTTTTTTATTGGTATTTATTTCTCTGAGTTCCCTCTTTTTCCATGGTTATTTGATATTTTGACCTTGGTTATGGAGCAAGATGACATTATTCACATGAATGTAAAGTTGTTTTCCAGCCAGCCTGGAGCTGCAGACTTGCATGTACTATCCAGACCCTGGGAAACCAAGGAAGACGTCAGGAAAGCTATGCTGATCCCACCCCTCCAGAAGGACCATGAGATGACAGCAAGGACAGGAGCAGAAACCAGACAGAGTCTTGGCGAGACCTTGCACTGGAGACCTTGCATGAAGCCCTCGCTGCTCACGTGTCCCTCCCTCCTGCTTTTCATGTCCCACTTTCTATTACCCCATCCCCTTCTTTAAAAACCCCCTCGGCAACCTGAGTCTTTGAGGTGCCTTTAGCCCGGACATTCTCCTTCAGGTTTAACAGAGAGATGGGTGAGCCTCACATCTCTCCTCAGGTCAACTGGAATTCCTGAATAGAAGCTGACTTCCATTTTCACCAGCATTTGACTTCTGGGTGTTTTGCTTCTGACTGGGGGCAGGCAGCTGTACCTGTGAGTTTGGTGTCATTTATGGGGAGCCTCCGCCAGGAGCTGAGTGTGCCCTGTAACAATGTCAGATGTGACTGTACACACATGCCCAGCCCAGGTCTCATCTGCATCACATCAAGCATATTAAAACGCACCCAATGTCCCTCATTAAATAGAATTCATATGAGGAGTCTGCACTGTGGTTGGCTAGTTGGCATAAGGGTATATTCTGTACCTATTTAATCGAACAATTATTAATATTTACTTGGCCATTTTGCTAACATTTTGGAGCCAATAAATTTATTTTTCAGGGCCGGCCCGTGGCTCACTCGGGAGAGTGTGGTGCTAATAACACCAAGGCCCCGGGTTCGGATCCTATATAGGGATGGCCGGTTCGCTCACTGGCTGAGCGTGGTGCTGACAACACCAAGTCAAGGGTTAAGATCCCCTTACCGGTCATCTTTTAAAAATAAATAAATAAATAAATAAATAAAATTTATTTTTCAGGTCTAAGCATTTTCATAAACCCCAGAAAAGCCAGGTTGGAGGCCTGTCAAAGGACAAAATTACAACAAATTTAAAGGTCTCAATTGGTGCTGGCCCATGGCTCACTCGGGAGAGTGCGGTGCTGACAACACCAAGGCCCCGGGTTCGGATCC